ACAAGGAAAAGGAAAGGGCTCGTTTCCCTAAATCCCACAGGAATGGCAGCTGCGGTTTGGCAGGCATGGGCTGGGAATGCCTGCGAGAGCCCAGCGGTGGCTGCGAGGCTGCTCATGGTGCCCACCTTTACCCCGAAGAGCAGGAAATATTAACGAGCTGTTAATCAACCCAGAGTTTCTCTCACACCCACACCCTGCACACCCGCACTCGCACAGGTTGAACAGAGGGTGTTGGCAGCATCTCGGCCACCCCCCCAAAAACAAAGTGTGAGCAGGACAAAATTTGGAATTTTTAGCTGCTGTGGCATCACCTCCTGAATTCCACAGGCAAGAGCCTTCCTGCCAAAAAATAAATCACCAGAGGTCCAGTAGGATCTGCTGAGTGTCCAACAGAGACTCTCCTAAGTGTCCCTTAGGCTGTTGTGTCTTTCCAGGTGGAAATAGAAGAAGATCAAGGGATTTCCAGTTGGAGATGAATTCAGAGAGAGAAGAGGGACACATCACAAAAGCAGTTTGTGCCAGTTTTTAGGGCAGATTTGGAAAGAATATGAGAACAAAGCAGCTCGTGCCTTGGAGTTTATCCAAACAGCAGCAAGAAGGTTTCAGAAGAAAATCTGTCAAGCCCAGCAAAGGATCTTTAAGGAGGAGTTCAGCTGACGCAGAAAGAAAGGACTGAGAGAAGGCAGGACAGGGACAAAGCAGGTCCTGTAATCCCCAAATCTTCTGGGGTACCAAAGAACTCCCAAAACAGGAGTGGTGCAGGCACAGAAGACAGAGATGGCTCTGAAGGTGCCAGGTTTGGATGCATCCCTGCCCCAGCACACCAGAGCACACAGCTCATCCCTCTGCCACATCATGGGATCAAAAAGTGGGTCAGGGAAATCTGGGAGAGACTCCTGATGCTCTAGAGTCATATAGGAATTAATGAAATCCTTCCCAAAGTGCTGGAGGAAGGGAGTTTTTAACCTGATTAATATCGTAGGAATACTTTAGGATCAAGCCTGGCTTAAATCTCAGATGGGGTAAGAAAAAATTGTGCTGCCATTAAATAATCAGCTGTCCCAGGGAGGATGAAACCCAACAATCAGCCCATAAATCCTGCAGATGTAATATTTATAACCAATGTGGGTTTATGCTTTTGTGTGGCTCCAGTGCCACAGTCAGAGCAGGTGCAAAAGAAAGAAAAAAAACCCAAACAAAACAGAAAAGAAAACAACCACCCCATAACCAGAGCACAGAGGGAGTTTGGTTATGTAAGGATTCATTCTTTCTTCCTAAAAACCCATCTGCTGCTCAGGAGCTCATTTCTGTGTATTCATCCTGATTCCTGGCCTGCATTCCAAGAGTCTCCACGGCCAAATGTGGAGTCTTTTTAATTTCCCTCCCCTCTCCTGCAGTGTGACAGGAATTGCTGGCACTCGTGCTGCCTCCTACACTTGTCCCCAGTGCTGTGAACTCTTATGCCACTTTTTCTTCCAGTTTCCTCCAAGTTTCCTACCACTTTTCCTGACTGTTTCCTACCAGGTTTCCTGCCTTTTCCTGCCCATTTCCCTCTGTGAGGAGGGAAGAGCCCACGGGAGCTCTGAGCAGCTTCACTGGGACCCCCAGGCCACGCTGGCACCCCCTAACCCAGGACAGGAACAGGGATCTGTCACCCATCCCCTGGCACCCAGCGGTGTCCCTGGCACTGGCACCTGGGCTTTCACCCTCTGGATGCTCGCCAGGGGTTGTGTTTGTGCCCCATCTTCACCACTTCACTCTCCCTGCTCTCTCCATGGAGATGTTTTCCATGGAAATGCCCAGCACAGTCCGGGCTCCCATCCCAGGTGACACTCAGGTGACTGTGGGCAGTGCCAGCAGAGGTGACAGCTCCAGGACTGTCCCCTGCCTCATTCCCACCTCAGCACAAGAAGTTTCAAATCCCTACTGGGAATTATTTTTACATTCATATATAAATATTTATATATTTATTTATATTTTATATATAAAAATATAAAATATAATATGTAAAAATATATTAAATTTAAAGATATATTAAATATAAATAATAAATTAAAATGTATATATTTATATATTCCTATACAACTTTATAAATATATAACTATATATTTTATATATTAAATATAATAATATAATAAATTAAATATATAAGTTTATATAGATATATACTAATTTATAGATATTAATCTATTAATATATTAATATATATTAAATATAATAATATAAAAATTATATATAGAGATAAATTTAATATATATTTTTTTAAAAAAAACTTTTTAATTTTTTTTTTACATTTGGCCTCACTATTCCCCATCCAGAGTCACTTCCCTGCTGCTTCTCCCTTCCCGCAGGGACAAGGTGAGCTCTCGGGGCAGGGCCAGCAGCACTGCAGGAATTCCAGGCCTGTTCCAGATGTTTCCATCCCAACACACCCCAGTGCAGAGATGGAGAATTTATTTAAGGCCCTGCAGCCACGGTTGGTGACTCCTGGCTCTGGCTCAGCCTCGGCCCCTGCTCCTCTTCCTCCTCCATACATATTTATGAGCCAAATTATCACTGAACAAGCAGGTTGCTGTGCAAATAAATGATTTTTAATCTAAATTACCCAGTTTACACACTCCCCCCAGCTCTGCTTAGCAGAACAGCTGGTGTTTACCAGCTCCTCATTATCGATCCAGGCAACACCAGGAGACGCTGCCCAGAGAGGAGCAGCCACCTCTGAGATAGGCTGAGCTCCAGCTTTTCCCTGCCTCATCCTCCACATCAGGTCTCTCATCCAGCCCAGCTTGCACCACTGTGCCACGAAGGAATGATGAAAAAATGTCTGCTGATAACAAGTGTTATTGTTGGGTGCTGTATTTCTGCAGAAAAGAGTCATTATTTGGATGAAAATCCTAATAAACCCAGCTATCTGTATTTCCATTCATCAGCATTTCCCTTCTCCTGATTCCACGGGAGGCTCACAGCGGAGCTCAGATGATGCAAGAATTATTCCTGTCGTGGCATTTCCACTGTCCAAGAATGAACATATGTGAGAGAAACCCAGCCCCTGGTTATCCCAGGCCTTAAAGTGCTCCCTGAGGCATTAAACAAACAGGGGCCCACTGGGACTGGGGGACTGCCAGGTCAAACTGGGGAAGGACTGGAGCACCAAAGCCAAAGCAGGGATGTTCCTGCAGCTCCTGGCACTCTCTGGGAGCGCTGGGAAGGAAGGTGCTGCTCTGAGCTGCTGCACAGCAGCTCCATTTCCAGCCTGGCAGGCTGCAGGGAGGAAGGAAAACTCCTGGCCTGGGCATCACAAGTGGTTCAGGAAGGAGTCACGAGCCACAGCACAGCCGGTGTCAGAGGAGATGTCATCCATGTCTGATCCATGCCTTCCCTTTCCCCCAGTTCTGCCTCTGGTTGTGACAAAGGAGGACACTGGTGATCGATGCCTTCTCCAGGATAATTCTTGTGTTCCCTTCCTTCTCTTCCTGCAGCCTTCTCCAGGATAATTCCTCCAGGATAATTATCCAGCTTCTCCAGGATAATTCCTGTGTTCCCACATTCCTTCTCTCCCTGGAGCCTTCTCCTGGAGCAGCAGCACAGCCTGTGCCCCTCCTGCTGTGTCCCAAAAAATGCCCCAGGAGTGAGGGACAACATCCCCATCCTGGGCAGGGGGAGGATGACAGGAGCTCCAGGAGCTGAGCCACCACCTGGTGACCTCCTCTGGCACAAAGTCCCCAAATTTCTCTGCCCACAAAACTGGTGGCTGGAGGGATGGAATATCCTCATCTTTCCTTGAGCACCGACCCAGGACTTGGCAGACACAAACAACAGCTTTAAAATTCACTGTATTATGAATTTTAATTAGCCCTGGCCACCCTGAGCTCATCCTGGCCACCCTGAACAGGCAGATGAGGGAGAGGGAAAATGATATTTTATAGGATGCTCCCAAGGAAGAAGATCTTTTCCCCCTGCCAGCACCACAAATTTGTTTGGCTGTGATTTAAGGAGGACACATCTGGTTTCAAAGCAGTTCCAGAGTCCCTGCAAATCAGAACATCTCTGATGGACTCCTGGAGCTCGGCTGAGTTAGGTCAGGGTGAGCCTGGGTGTTTGAACAAAGCCCTCAGGGCTTCCAGATCCATCCCAGCTCCTCTCCACAGCCTGATTTCCAGCTGTCCATCTTCCTCCTGGCACAAAGATGTGGGATCGTGTGTGAAAAGACCCAGAGGATTGTAAGGGGTTGGAATGGTCCTTAAAAACCATCTAGACCAAAAGAAAAATGGGAACTGACTGAAAAGCTGCAGAAAATACCCTGCCCTGGTGTGGTGAGCAGCAAGCACCTGCAGCGAGCTCAGGCAGCGCGGTGGGGTGGGCAGGGAGGTTTTGGGGAGCCCTGAGCTCGCTGGGTTTCACCCAGGATGAAGATTTCCCTCCTCTGGACTGGGCTCTGAGGCTGCCCGGCAGGAACTCGGTAAACAAGAGGTAAATAATCATTGCCCCGGTGACAAACGCCCTCGGAGGGATTGGAAGAGGAAGCCGAAGCCGGCGTTTGCAGAGAGCAGGGAGGAAATAAATATTCTGCATTTAACAATCCCAGGCAGGGCAGCACGGGCAGGGAGGTGGAGGAAATGGGAGCAGGCTCTGCCTGTGAAGCCCCAGATGGCCACAGGTTGTCAAAGCAAAGAGATCAGCCGGGAAAACCTCTCCTTCTTCCCTGTCCTCCAGCCCGGAGTGAGAGCCGAGCCCGGGGCTCGCAGGGAAGCCGCTCTCGCTGTAAAAATGGGCATTTATTGCTCTCTGGTGGCAGAGCTGCACATTCCTGCCGTGTGCCCGGGAGAACATCGGGCTGGAAAATCCCTCTGAGATCATCGAGCCCGACCATTCCCCGCCGCTAAACCGTGTCCCCAAATGCCACATGACAGGGATGGGGACTCCAGCAGCTCCCCGTTCCGGCGCTCTGCTCCTGTGCTCCTGCTCTGGACCCGGAGCTTGAGGGCAGGGCTGGGTGAGGGTGGGCTCTGCTGGGGGTTTTTTTGCCCCCAGATGAGGCTGGAGCAGCCCCTTTATTCCTCCTCACTTCCCCAATTCTGAGACTCACTGCCAAAAGCTTTGGTGGTGCTTTTTACAGGAGACAGATTCCATCACAGACTTCGCGGGGCAGGCGAGGATAAAAACCAGGCATAAATAAAGGAGCTGCTGTCTCAAACACGTTTGGGTTGGGCTGAGCTGCTCCAAGGTGTGGGGACAGGCAGGCACATGGCAGCACTCCCCAGTCCCCATCCTGCTTGTGAAACCTCCCAGGAGCTCAGCCCTGCTGCACCACCAGCTCCAGCACCGCTGCTGGGCCCTCATCCTGCCCTGGCTGTGCCACCTCCTCTGCAGGGCACGGCCCTGCTCCTGAAAAACGAGGGCAGAATCCCAAGTGCTTGGGATGAGGAGCCCAAACCCTTCCAGCTCTTCAGGATGCGGTGAAGGACCTCTCCTGGGCCGGTTCTGGAGAGCACACGGACCTTGCACGCTGCTGCTGATGGCTCCCACTGGTGTCCCCAGGGTGGCAGATGGGTCACACCACGTGGCCACCTTCGCTCAGCCACCGGGGCCGCTCCGTGGCACAGCCTGGCGTGCCCTCAGGTCCCCCTGGGGCTCTGGGGATGGCACCCAGCTTGGCACGGAGCAGGGATTGCAGCTCCAAGTCTCCCAGCTCGGCGGCTGCGGCGAGGGCCAGCAGGAAGTAGGAGGCTGCGTCCTGTTCATCCTGAGCAGAAAGCATGGGGCAGGTGTCAGGAAGGGGCTTCACTGGAGGTCATGGGGCAGGAGGGAGCTGGAGCAGAGCTGGGGATACCTGCTTTCACTGGAATGGTGCTAAGTGCCAGCACTTCTTCCCAAATTACCTCCCCCACTTCAAAAGCAGATGTGACCTCCAGCCTCAGCTCTCCATCCAAGCCACAGCCCCATGGGAAGGCTCCTCTCTTACCTGCAGCTTGTGCAGAGCCAGGTTTCCCAGGTGCCAGTAGACCTTGCAGTAGTACAGAGCTTCTGCTGAGCTCTGCAGCACGGGGGGACGCATGGCCAGGGTCTTCAGGTAGCAATCCTCGGCCATCTCGTACATGTGCAGCAAGTCATAGGCTGTGGCCAGGCGGTGGAAGGCAACCAGCTCCTGCAGCTGATCCCCTGGAAAAGAGAGGGGTGGAATCAACCACTTCCTGCCATGGATCTGGAAAATAGGTGGGCAGAATCATCCAGTTCCTGCAGCTGATCGCCTGGAAAAGAGAAGGGTAGAATCAACCAGCTCATGCCATGGATGTCCTGGAAAAATGGTGGGCAGAATCAACCATCTCCTGCCATGGATCTCCTGGAAACGTTGCTGATCCAGCTTAATCCATGCCCAGCCCTGCTGAGCCACGTTGGATGCATCTCCTCAGCAGCCTGGGGAGCACAGATACCTCCAAGAGAAAACAGAGCCATGGGCAGGGTTGTCGATGCCACAGCTGGACAGTCTGGCCCAGCAGTATCATTCAGCCAGGGGATTTTTTGGGTGCTGGAAGGGGCTGTTACAAGACTGGTCCAATCCCAGACATTTAAGCTGGCATTTTGCCCATCCAAACTATTTCTGTAATGGGAAGAGGTGAGGTTTTCAGCAGGGCAGAGAGGAACTGCTCAGTCCTGTGCTTTCACCAGATTTCCTGTGCTCTGGGGTAACAAAAACTCTCTGCTGTCAAATAGCTGAAAAAAGGGAAGTGGCCTTAGAAAGATGCCATGAATTTGGGTAATAGGTCCAGCAGTGTTAGGAAAGCAGGAGATCCCCTTTTCACATGGATATTGTTCTCATCCACAAGATTCAGTGGCTCCCAATGCCCTGTGGGTGAAAATGACCCACTGACCAGTAACTCCCAGTAACTTTGGGCTGTGAATCACTCACCGACCCTGAGGCTGAGCCTGGCTGCCAGCGTGGCAAACTCCAGAGCCTTCTCGTAGCCCTGCAGGCTGATCTGCAGCTCTGCCAGTTTATTGAACAGCCGCAGCTCTGTCTGGGTGGCCTTGAGTTTCCTGGCCAAGGGCACAGCACCTCCCTAAGGAGAGAGAATGGAGAGTTCAGGATGTTCCTGGAGGGATCAGCACTGCCTGAGGGGGGTGACAGAGCAGCAGGACAAGAACCAAGGCAGGGGATGGGCACTGCAGGTTTAGGTTTTAGTCCCTTCTTTCCATTGAAAATGAGTTTTAAACCCCGCGGCTCTCGAAGCCTGAGCCTCACATCTCTGCCCTTCTTTGGGTGCCTGGAATTCTGACTGGGTGTACCCAGGAGTGACCAGCTCACACTCAACACCACCAGGATTTGTAGTGGAAAGATCCCATTCCCAATCCTAAATTATCTCTGGGGTTTTTTCACACACCTGTGTTCTGGGCCTCCCACTCTGGCACCCTCAGGATCACCCCATCCCTCTCCACCCTCCATCCTTCTGGTCTGCCCTGGGGCAAAGCCCTCCCAGCCTGTGTGGGGACACAGGGACAGAAATGCTCCGAGGGGCTCCATACCCTGTAAAACTCCACTGCTCGGGCCCTGTTCCAGCTGCCATTAAAGAAGGTGTCACCTGCTTTCTCATAAAGATCCATGGCCAAGGAGAAGTTGTCCCCTTTCAGAGCAGTCTGGATGGCTGCCTGGAAGGAAAAGGGGCTGGAGTGACACTTGGAAAGGCACAGACATTGGTGTGATTAAATAAACCCCATATTTTAGGAGCTGCTCTTCCACTTTGCAGCTCAGCTGATAAAATAATACTGGACATGGAGAAATGCCAGAAGTCTTCAACTCCAAGGACTTCCCTGGCACTTATCCCTTATTTATGGATATTTCAATGGGAACTGGTCACTTTGCACCTCCAGCTTCCTTTGGCACTCCTACATCACTTTCTGACTCATTTAATTCACTTATTTTCACCCCCAAATCCTCTAAACTCAGTGGATGGAAAGAAAGAGAGGAAATTCAGTGCCTGAGGGTAAGGCAAGAGCTCCTCCTTCCAGGCTGTTTACAGAGCTCAGAACTTTCCCTTCCAGGTTTTCCAGCCCCAGAAGGCTGTGATGGGAATGTGTGGGACAGCTCCAGCCACCTCCTCCATACCTGGAAGTACATTTCCACCAGCTCATCCTCCTGTAGAAGATAATAGAGTTTTCCTGCCTGCAGCCAGGCCTCTGCCGCCTTCACAGCCTCCTCGAGGTCGATGAAGATCCTCAGGCTCTGCTTGGTGCAGTCCAGGGATTGTCTCAAAGCCCTGTGATGGCAACAGGCAAAAAGTCACTTCAGAGGAGTCCCAGGACATTCTCAGCTGTCCCCATGCCACCTCCCCACGGCACTGACCCCCTTCCCTCTCCTCCTGTTGTTATCAAAGACTGGGGACAAAAGGACATTCCCAGCTCTGAGCAATGTGTCCTGGAAGTCTCCATGCTTTAATGCTCAGGCTTTAATGGTCATTTGGCCACCTCAGGACAATTCAGGACACCAGTGGTGCCACTCAAGCTGCTCCTCACCCCTGTGTGATAAAGAGGGGCTTGTCCAGGTCACCTCCAAACCCAATCTGCCTCCCTAAACCGAGTCCCAAAGTCAGTCCCAGCTCTGCATGGAGCACATGCAGGGAATGCCTGTACTTCCATCTCCCAGACAGCACCTGGCACCCAAACCCACACCTTTGCCTGGTGCTTGTCCCTTGTGCAGTCATGGAGAGATCTCTGGGTCTCTGAACAAGCCCCTTGTCCAGTCCTGATCACTGGAGCACACAGGGACAGGCAGTGGGATGAGCCAGAGGGTTGGACACGGGTCCAGCTGTGGGGAAGGGGGAGCCAGCAGTGTCCAAAGACAAAAGGACAAAGTTTGTTTGCTTGGTGTCTCTCGTGCTGGCAGACAGGCCCCAGCTGACCTGGGAGCGCAGGGAATGGGGTGCTCTGTGATCCAAACACTCTGTTCACATGACAGGTATCTTCTCCCTAAATACCTTGTCCCTGCACTCGCTGTGACCTGGCTGAGGAGGTGAACATCCCAGCTGGGGACAGCCCTGGGGACACAGGAACTGGCTCTCCACTCTTTGGTCTGATTGCCTTGGAGGTCTGTGGCCTGCCCCAGACTCCTTCTCCCCTCTCCTGCCCAATCTGATCAGTCCCACGCAGGTGTCAGGCTGGAGATTAAAGGTGAGCTGGGTTTTAAGCACCTCGAGTCCCTCCCTGGGGACAATATCACAGCACATATAGGAAGAGCAGCTTTGGCAGCTGGAGGCTGAAACCAGACTTACTCAAAGAGCAGATAAGGAGCCTGTTCTTCCTGGGGAGTGGTGATTAATCATTGGGATAAGCTTCCAAAGGAAGCAATGAATCCCCTGTCACTGGGTCCGCTCTGCTGAAGGCTGGATGTGTCCTGGAAAATGGTGCTTGGCCAGACTCCAGTTCTGTCTGGGACAACGTTTGCCCAGCTCTGGCTGACACTGAGCTGTTCCCTCTCAGAGCACAGTGAGAGCTCCTAAATCTCAGAACCAGAACTGTGGGGCAGATGGAGACACCGCACCCCTTCCCACCCTGCTCAAGGGACACCCCAGGAAAGCCACTGCACTCTGGCAGCATCCAGCAGCCCCAGCCACTCACTCAGGTGTGCCCAAAGCCTGGTAGAGCAGGCTGAGGGCCTGCCTGGCATTGCCCTCCAGCTCCCTGTCCTGCAGCTGCCGTGCCAGGGACGCCCAGTGCTCGTGGTAGGCGATGCAGGCCTGCAGGTCGGGGCACACTCTGCTGCAGAAATGGCACAGACGCTCCGTGACGTGCAGCTGACCTGCGTGGCACGGGGAAAGGGAGAAGGACAGGTCAGGGGACGGTGCTGGGGAGCTGGCAGGGCCGAACGCTGCCCTGCTCCCCCCTGTACTCACTCCTCAGGTTCTGCCACTTCAGGGCAAACCCCAGTGCCAGTTCATAGCAGAGTTTGGCATCTTCCATCCTCTGCCTGTCTACCATGGCCTGTGCCAGCCACAGCAGCACCTGTGCCAGCTCCAGGTCCGGCTCTTGGTGTCCCTGGAGCTCGGCGTAGAGCCGGACCGACCACAGCAGGTAGAGCTCGGCCAGCTGGGCGGCCCCACACGAGAGGCTCAGCTGGCCCAGGTTAGCCAGGGCCACGGCCTGGTTCCTCCTGTTCCCCGTCTCCTTGGCCTTGTGCAGGGCCCTCAGGAAGTTCTCTGCAGCCTCCTGAACGTGTCCCTGGGCCCCGAGGGCCATGGCCAGGAGGTTGTGCACGGCCCCAGGCTGGGTCTCGCTGGCGGTGCCGCGCAGGGAGCGCAGCAGCTGCCGCAGGATGTCCCCAGCCGGACCCGGCCGCTGCTGCAGGAGGTGCATCCACCCCAAGGACAGCGAGGACTCAAAAGCCTCCTCCTCCCCCAGCAGCCTGCCCAGGGCTGCAGCTCTGGCTGAATAGCAAACAGCCCCGTCCAGCAGCCCGTGCTGCAGGTACGTCCTGCACAGCACGGCGCAGAGCGTCCTCTGCATGGGCACGGCCCTGCTCTCGCAGCAGAACTGCAGCGCTTGCTTGAGGTACAGACAAGCCAGCGCCGGGATGCTGCTCCTGTCCAGCTGCTTCCCCAGGACTTTGGGAGCGTTTTGGAGGATGAAGCCAGCTCTCCAGACGGGGGTCGGTGTCCCCTTGGTGCTGCTGGGAGCAAAGGACCTGACAGAGGCCAGCGCGAGGTTTGGCAGGCACGTCTTGTCATAGAGGTAGCCCAAGGTGGCAGCGGCATCCAGTGGCCCACGGGAGCCTGGGCTGAGCCAGGTGGTGCTGAGACACTGGAGATGCTCCAAAAAGGGCAGCACCTCCTCGGTTCTGCCCAGCTGCAGGAAGAGCTTGACAATGAGGAAGCAGACGCGGGCCTCCAGCGGAGCGTTGCCCACAGCGATGGATTCCCTCAGGATGTACGTCAGGAGCTCCAGCTCGCTCTCCGAGCTGAAGGAGCGGCCAGGCAGGCACACGAGCAAGGTCAGCGTCTTCCCCAGCAGGGAGGAGAACTTGTGCTTCATGTTCTGCTTCAGGTAGACGGAGGCGAGGCTCACGTGCAGCGCTGCCAGCAGGGGCAGGTCCCCAAAGCCCCTGTCCAGGACACTCATGGCCTCCTCAAAGTACACCCGAGCCTGGGACAACTTGAGCTTTTTGATGCAGAGCTTGCCCAGGAGGAAACAGAGCCTGGTGTGAGCCCAAACCAAACGAGTCCTCTTGGCCCAGTTCCGGGAAGTCTCCAGGTACAGAACTAGTTCATCCTCATCAGAGAAGCCATAAAAAGTGGACTGCAGAAAGGAAAAGCTGAGATCATAAAAGCTTTGGAAACTGGGCACGAAACTGTCTTGGTTGAGGAAGGTCAATATGGGATCAAAGACATCAGCATCCTCCATGTGTCCAGTGTTGAGGTCGATGAAGAATTTGGGGTAATCCAAGTCATCCAGCTTCTCCAGGAGAACATCTTCCAGTGTGGCAGGGGCTGTTTCACTGCCTGGGCTGGACAGCTCTGAGGTGCTGCTGGTAGCCCAGTCATTGATTTCCTCCCAAGACTGGAGCACTTGGATTTCTTTACTGCCGTGGAGAGCAGCCTCTGGAAGGGAAACCATAGTGGGATCACAGAGAAATTCTTCCCTGTGGCTGCCCCTGGATCCCTGGAAGAGTCCAAGGCCAGATTGGACGGGGCTTGGAGAAACCTGGGCTAGTGGAAGGTGTCCCTGTCCATGGCAGTGGGCGGCACTGGATGAGCTTTAAGGTTCCTCCCAGCCCAAACCATTCTCTGATGTTTCCTCATGTCCAAATTCACCCTCAGAAGCCATCACCCAAGCCTCACCCTCCGTCCCCTCCTCGTACTCACCCGGTGGCACTTGTGGGAACACAGCTGTGGGTTCAAAACCAGCTGTACAGAGAGACAAACAGAAAACAGAACCCCAAATCCTTGGTCAGTGTCAATGCACAGAGATCAGTCCCAAATCCAGAACAGAGAAACTGAGAACCCCCAGAAACCCTGACCCGGGTCCTGCAGGCCAGGCTCAGTGGAGAGCAGCATCTGCCAGGGTGAGCAGCTCAGGAGCTGCCCTGGGAGCAGAGAAGGTCCCTACAAACCCCTGGGGTCACCTCCTGAGGGCACCTCCAGCCCCCATCACCAGCCTGAGCACAGTTTGGTGCTGTCTCCACCCCAGAAGTTTCCTCCACTGCACTCCCATGATCCTGGGGCTCCCCAGGCACTGCCCAGCTCTCCGTGGGGATCCAGGGAGTGGGACAAAAGGAGAGGGGACACTCACCCAACCTGTAGACAGAGGTGATGTCAGTGTGTGCCAGGTCCCCCAGGAGGGTGGCAAAGTGCTGCTCGTCACCATTGCAGGGGATGTGCAGCACTGGGGACTTCTCCTCTTCACTCAGAAACACAAAGCCCTTTCCCCTGGGGTGGGGCAGGAGAAAAGAATCAGTGTGTCCCCAGCCCCTGACACTGCAGCTGGCCTGTGGGGTGGGGTGGGATGGGGTGGGATGGGATGGGATGGGATGGGATGGGATGGGATGGGATGGGATGGGATGGGTTTTCTCATCCCTTCTCTTCCTCCCACCACAGAGGTTCTGCTGCAGATGAACACAGGATTTTGGACACCTTCCCCATCCAAGTTCTCCGTGAAGGAAGAGAAAGGTACCAGAGAAAAGGATCTATTGGTCTTTTTTGGAATCCAGAAGCCACAAGATACCACTTGATCTGCTCTGTCCCTTCTGGAGCGTCAGAGAAAAGTGCTACAACTCACCTTGGGTGACTCTGAGAGAGGAAAGTTCAGCAGACCTTGGTTAAAGCCTTGTCCTCCTACACACACTCTTGGAGAAGACTTTTGGGATGGGCATCGAGTGGAAGCCACCAACAGAGACAACTGCCTGAGTCAGGGTGGGATTTATCACCCTCCCTCCCTGGACAGCTCCTGCTGTGTCCTTGGGAGGGTGTGGAATTCTGCTCTGTGCCAGTGGCCATTCTGCCTCCACATCCAGGGGCAGGAGGAAGGAAAGCAGGATTTGGTTTCCTTGGCAGGGAATGCTCTCCCGACCCCTGCCAGGCCCCCAGCCCCTCAGAGGTACAAACTGAAGACATTTCTAGGACAAAGTGGGAAGCCAGCTTGCAGGAAACCAGATTAGCCCAGGGCTGGATCTGTTCCTCTCCAAGAATCACCTGAGGCAGGTGAAATACAATTTCTGTGTCTGAGCTGCAGCAGAGCCTGGCCAAGGCTTCTGCTCACGCCTCAAACCCACCCTCTGGGAAGGTCCTGCAAAGGAAACCACCTGCCCTAGGCTCTCACACAGCCTTGAGGTGGGATTTGGAGCCTCCCCTCCCTTTCCTCCAGAATTTAATCTAAATAAACTCACAGAGGTTGGCAAGGCTCGGGATTTACGTGTCGGGTGGGAACGAAGCCAATGCTCCTGGTGCTGAGGGATTTGCCCACAAACCAGGGCAGCCCAGGGATGAAGAAACCGATGATTTCTATGGGGTCTCCTTTGGAGAAGCTCAGCTCATCCCACGCTGCTCCTCTGTGGTCCTCGGTGGCGATGCACCTGCCTTTGACTGAGAAACCAAGGCAAAAAAGGGAATCTCAGTGGGATCCCTGCTAAAAACTCCTCACTGGAAAGAACCTGGGCAAGGAGAGGCCGTGATTCCAGCTGGAGAGGACTGCCTCTCCCTCCCCTAAGATTTATTGTGAGCTTAGATCCAGCTCTCTGCCATTTCTCCTTGAGAAGTGGATGAGAATACAAAATAAGAGAGGGATAAGCTCCACACCCCTGCAAGCAGCCTGGAAGGTGAATGGAAATATGGATTTTCACAGACTCTGCCCTATCTCAACTCTGCCAGGAATGAAATCTCAGGCAGTGCAAATGTCCATCCCTACATGACAAAGTCACACCTGCAGGGACCTCCTGTGTCCAGCTTGCTCTGAGCTGGACTGGGTTGGGTTAAGGGCTGGATGGTGGGCACAGGTTTCATGGGAACACAAGGTGGGAACCTCATGATTTGAAACCTCCCTCCTGAAAGAACTAAAAGAAACATAAAATTGAAGTAGTTCAGGAAAACCCCAGCTGTAGGAAGGTGTCACCAGCAGCTCTCTGTGATCCTCAGAACGGGGTTTGCAAGTTCTGATCTGCATCCCAGAGAGTGCAGAGATGCAGCATTCCCTTAGAGCCTCTCTAGTGGGGTCAGGCCCAGAGCAACAAATGGATTTGTGGTCATTTCTGGCCAAGCCCAGGCTTTGAGCTGTGCCCAGCCCTGGGACAGTGCCTTGCACAGGTGTCACTCACCAATGGCCTGAGAGCTCGTCCCACTGATCTCCTGGGAGAGGCCAAAACTCACAGCATAATTCTTCAGGAACCACCTGCAAGGCAAAAGGGACCCTGGTCCTCGGTGAGCACTCCTGAGCTCAGGCCAGCCCCAGGGATGGTGTCACACCACTGGGGAAGAGCAGGATAAATGTGCCATCTTTAAAGGAGATTTCTCCAGGTAAAAGGCTCAGGTGACCAATGTGAAGCCCCACCTTGGCTGGCATTGCCTTAATTCTTTCTGCTACTTCTTCATCTGTTAATCAGAGATAACCTCATGTCTGACCTAAATCAATATCTTACAAAAAGCACAACTGAAGTAGGAGCATGTCCTTGCTGTGTCCCATTGACAGCACCTGCATTGATTCCAGTTTTATGCCTAATGTGGATCCTCCTGGAAAAATCCTCATGGAATTGTGAGGCTCTTGCCTCACAGGAAATCAAATCAGGAAAGATTCCTGGTTTGAGCCCTTTAATTCACCACTTACTGGTAAAAGGGGTGAGGTATTGGCTCCAGAGCTGTCACGGGCACCACGCCTCGCTGTCCTGTCAGCAGGGACATCCCTTCCCACTTGGAATCCTGTCCAACACTCTTCACATGGATCAGCTCATTCCTGCAGAGCTGCAGGCTCTCCTCTCCCTCCTGCTCTGACTTCCAGGCTCCAGGCACTGCCCTGCAGAAAAAGTTCCCTGCAGAGAGAAGGAGTCAGAGATTGGATCAGTGCATCCATGGCTGCTGGATTTTCAGGGGGGATTTTCAGGAATCCCCCACTGTGCATTCCTCTCACACCTTCCTGGAGGAGCAGATCCATGTAGATGGTGGCCAGGTGCTCTTCATCCACGCTGACCCTGAGCTCTGTGTCCTCCACCAGGGCACAGTCCAGCCAGAACTCCTGAGCAAAGAGCAGCTGCTCCAGGCAGGTGCCCACGTACCCTGAGAAGCCAAGAGGGGGATCAGGATCAGCATCTCCTTCCCTGGGCAGCAGAAAGGGTCTTGGAGATTTCCAAATGTCTGAAAATTTTGTCTCCAAATTCTTCCCAATTCTCACTGATGCAAACAGAGATTTCATAAACAACGGATTGCAAAGTTTCCTAATTCATATTCTCACTGTCCACCCTGAACATTACAGTTCTGTAGTGTCAGGAAATGCCTTCTCCAAAAACCCTTCTCACACTGTCTGTTTAGACCTTGGAAACGTTACCTAAAGTCAGATAAGTGGAAAACTTCCAGACTTCCTCCAGGGTTTTGAAGGTGAGGAGGAAGCGATCCTCGTGTGCCTGCATGCAGACCAGCCTGGCTGACAGCTCCTGCACGTGGGAGACAAAGCAGCATCAAGGGACACTCCTTGAAATCCAGCAGGGAAGGAGAGCTCAGTCCAGGCATCCTCTCTGGAGCTGGGATTTGTTTATATAAAACAACTCTGTGCCTGTCCAGAGCTGTCACCTCCAGCAGGGACATGGATTTGGTGATGCCAGCCCTGTGAATTCCTGGCTGTTTAAGCTCAGATCCCCCAAAACAACACCAGGCTCAGCTCTGCCTCTCACTTGCCCTCAGTTCATCTTCCCCATCACTCCAGTCCCCTCCAGAGTCCCCTGCAGTGGCCTTGGGGGAACTCAGCTGGTACCCCAGCACACCTCTCACCATTCCAGACACATCCCAGCATGCTGCCATGGGGTCTCTACCTTGAACAGGGCACAGACGTCCCTGTCATCGCTCTCCAGAGCCCACAGCTTCTTCCTGGCAGCTTCCTGGAGCTGGGAATTGCGGCACCGGGAGGAGCGGCTCTCCACGGAGAAGGAGAGTGAGAGCTCTTGGAAGGGAAGAGGAGGAGATTAAAGGGGAGGAGGAAGAGGAGGGAGAGACACCCCTGCCACCCAGAGCCACCCAGAGCCACCCAGAGTCACCTCTGCCACCCAGAGCCACCCAGAGCCACCCAGAGCCACCCAGAGTCACCTCTGCCACCCAGAGCAACCCAGAGCCGCACGGAGCCACCCAGAGCCACCTCTGCCACCCAGAGTCACCCAGAGCCACCCAGAGCCACATGGAGACACCCAGAGCCACCCCTGCCACCCTGCCAGGCCCAGCAGAGCCTCCAGCCCGGCTGTGATGCTCAAACAACACAACCCCAGCCCATCCTCATCCTCCAGACAAGACCTGAGGCACTGCAGGGAACCCCAGGAAATCCATGAGATTGCACAGGCAGAGCCTCACCTGGCAGAAAGCTGTGCCTGAGAGGCAGCAGCACCACAGAGGGGTCCGGGGAGCCGTGTCCTGCCTCAGGGCTGCTCTGCTCTGTCACCCCAGCCTTCCCTGGAGAGGAGGGGACACAGCAGAGCTGCTGGAAAATGCTGTGGAAGAGCTCGTGGGTGTCCTGCCTCAGCTGAGAGCCCCCGGGAGCACAGCCCTGCAGATCTGCCTGGGGATTGTGTGGGTCTGGAACCACCCGAAAGCTGTGCTCAAGGCCAGAGAGATCCATGGGATTGGTGGGGTCTAACTCCATCATTCCCTTGATTTTGGGCTTGTTTTCCAGTGCTGGAGTGGCTCTGGAGTGAGGGGATTTTCCCTCCTGTCTCCTGGCCAGACCCTCAAATGAGCAGATCTGTTAAAAGGGTGAATCCCCAACAGAGATTTTTTTTTTTGGATGAGGCCTCAACTCCCCAGCACAGGAGAGCCAAGGCCTTGCAAAACTCCCTTCACACATTTGAAAATCAAAATGAGATTTTGTCCCCTGCCTGCTCTGGTGGGTATCCAAAATCCAAGCAGCATTCTCCCTGCTCCACACATCATCAACAATTGCCATAAAGGATTCAGGGTCTGCAACTTGAGCTGCTAATTATGTTAATGAAAGCTGAGGCACACAAAACTCCAGCCCTGCATTGGCAGTGGAAGGATAACCAGATTAAACCCCAATTTTTATCAGTAATCAGACTGGATTTCTAAGATAAACATGTACCTGGAGATGTGGAGCTGGAATGTGCAGCAGCTTTTTAAAGTCATTTCTTTGACCAGAACCCTGCTTTACAGTTCTTTTTATTGAGCCAGCTCTGCCAGTCACTCAAATAAATAGGCATTTGCTAAGTCACTCAAATAAACTGGTATTTTCATGCAGAAATAGAATTCTTATTTAGAGAAATAGAATTCTTACGTAGAGCTAGCAAGTAGAAAAGAATAGCCAAGCCTGGACAGGTCATGAATAAGTTTTTCTTTGAAAGAAAAGGGTCTGCATTTAACAAAGTCTTAACATTTTGTGTGGCAGCTCAGTCCCTTCCCTCAGTGAGGGAAATGGAGAAGGGGAAGTGAAAGGAGACAGAGGCAGAACTAAATGTGAGCTGGCTCCTGCCATTGCTCCACTCCTCACTGTCCTCCTCCCCTCTGTGCCCCAGCAGACCCTGGTAGGGGCTGGGGATGGGGACTGGGTGTCATTCCCTGGGGATGGGGACTGGGTGTCATTCCCTGGGGACTGGGTGTCATTCCCTGGGGATGGGGTTGTGTCCCTGCTGCCATTCCCTGGGGTTGTGTCCCTGCTGCCATTCCCTGGGGTTGTGTCCCTGCTGCCATTCCCTGGGGATGGGTACCTGCTGCCATTCCCTGGGGTTGGGTACCTGCTGCCATTCCCTGGGGATGGGTCCCTGGTGCCGTGGTCGTGTCCCACCACCATTGTCCCCGGCGGTGCAGGCGGTCCCAGCGGGGCAGGAGCTCGGGGGAGCGGGGCCAGCAGGACTCACACTCCTCACCTGGGGAACACGGAGGGTGGGCAGAGGCGTCCGGATCCCCGGCAGGATTCCCCCTGCCGGAGAGGTGCCCGTGGGATGTGCCACAGGAGGTGCCAGGTGGGACACTGCCCGTGCCACCTGTGCCTGCAGCAGGACCGAGCCTGTCCATGGGTCCCCAGAGCCTGGAAGGGGTCAGGGCTCGCTCTGGCTGCTCTCACGGGTTCAGTGTTTATTTTCATTTCAGAAAGGGAACTGGGAGCTTTTTTTTTTTCAAGGCACCAATTGAAACTGCAGCTGGGGAGTTGTTCCCAGTCGTGCCAGTGACTCACTGACCTCCTCAGTGCCAAAATATTTTGTAACAGTGGGCAGGAAACAGCTCCAGCCCCGAGCCAGGCACAGGTCCCTGCACTCAGGGCTGCCCTCCTGGCTCCAGGGCTGGGTGTTCAGGGCACCTTCTGGCCCTGGCTCTGCCGGGGAACACGTGGCCACAGCGGCTGGCCCTGAGCCATGGCCCTTCTCCAGCTCACTGGGACACGCTGGAACAGGGATGGTGCCTTGGGGGATGCCAGCACCCCACGGGCTCTGCTTGGAGGGCTCCTGGGCAGGGAGGGTGGAGAGGGGAAAAGCCAACAGCATGGGAATAAAACAAGCCCTGAGTCATCCTGTCCTTTTCCTGGCCAAATGTCCTGCCTCACTCCCCACACACCCTGATCCAAGAGGAGAGAGCAGCAGGAGCCATCCCAGAAATGCCAAGTAGCCAGAGGGGCCAGTGCTCAGCACCAGAGCATCCCCAGGGGTCCAATCCCATGGAGGGACACAGCTCCCACAGCCCCAGTGCCACAGCAGAGCCCCACAGACCCCTTACCTGTGCATCCCAGCGCCAGCTCCTGGTGCCAGGGGGTCCCCAGGCAGCAGCCCATGCGTGCAGTGACAGCAGCAGTGGGCTGGCAGAGGGCTGGCAGGGGCAGGGCTGCTCGCTGCCCGCCCGGCACCGCGCCTGGCCACGGCCACAATGCACAATGTCCCCTTTGAGCGGGCACTGGCACGGCGGGGGCGGCGGCCACGGGCTCAGGGAAGGGTTTGGGTTGGACTCACAGCATCAGTTGGGTTTGGAAAGGCCTTTAAGGTCATCAAGACCACAGACCTATTACTGCCAAAGCCACCAGTGAATCGTGTCCCTAAGTGCCATATATATGTCTTATAAATGCCCCTGGAGATGGGGGCTCCACCACGTCCTGGATGGGCTGTGCCAGTGCTTGGCAAGCCTTTACATGGAGAAATTTTTTCTGATATCCAACCCAAACCCTCCCTGGTGCAACTGGGGACCATTTCCTCTCATCCTGTGCCTTTTTTCCTGGGATCAGAGCCCAATCCCCCGGCTGTCCCCTCCTGTCAGGGACTTGTGCAGAGCCACAAGGGCCCCCTGAGCCTCCTTTGCCCCACTCTGCCTCCAGGAGGGCAGTGCCCATCCCACATGGCACATTCCTGCCATTCCTCCTCGGGACTGCCTCGCTCTGCCCAGCCTGCCCCAGCTCCCAGCTGCTCCCTCCAAGCCGATCTCCCCCAGTTCCAAAGGCAGGGCTGTTCCTGACACCGCTGCAAGCACCTCCCTCACCTCTGGGGGTGTCCAGCATCCTCCATCCGGGGCTGGCTCTGCTCCTGAGCCTCCTTCCTGCCCCGTGCTTTTCCCGTGTCCCCGCGGGGGCAGCTGGCAGCACCACGGGCATCTCTGCCAGCTGCATCCAGGCGAGCTCCTGCAGCCCTGGCACTGCGGGCACCCCCGGGCTCAGCGCTGGCCAAACCCCAACACCAGCAGGGACTGTTTTGGCCGCTGTGCGGGATCCCTTGGGCATCCCAGGATGAGGATGAGCCCCATTCCCTCCTCACTCACATCCTCAGACCATCCCCAGCCCTCAGGGTGAGGATTTGGGATGGCTGGGCGGGCTCACTGCGCTGTGCGTGGTCTGCAGAGCATCTTTGGGCAACAGCAACGCAGCCCCTGCAAAATAAAACCCAAAAGGTTTAGGGAGAGAACTTTCAGGTTGGGAGGGGTTTGAGGGATGGATTTTTACTCCAGCCAGTGCCACCACTGCAGGGATTTCTGTGCTGGGGTGCTCCAGGGGCATTGATGCCTCTCCCAGGCTGCATCCCAAGCCATGGCAGTGCCTTGAACTTCTCCAGAGTAGGGAATCATAAATCCAGACAGTGATCTAGGCCAGGCTGGGTGAGGCTCTGAGCACACTGGTGCAGTGGAAGGCAGTCCTGCCCACCAACAGAGGTAAATTTTAAGGTGCTTTTTAACCCAAACTCAGTGGTCTCTATGATTCCATGACCCAGAGAGGGAATTCCTCACCAGAGGGATTCCCACGCCTGGCACAAGTGCAATGCCCCTGAAGCAAAGCGTGAGGAGTGTGAGGCTGTGGGAAGAGCAGGATGGAACCCACCTGCCTGGGAATTTCCACACAAAAATGAAGCCAAACCAAAAGCCTCTGCAGGGAGGGTTGCAGACTGGAGGAGCGGGGGTTCCTAATCCAGATCTCCAAATGCTGGGATTGCCTGGAGAAAGGAGCATCCTCTCCATCCTCCCACAGAGCCCTGGGCTCTCTCCAGGCTGGGGTTTGCACTCAGAGCTGTGGGGCTGCAGGAAAGGGAGGACAGAGCAGCACTGCTCCCATTGCAGCCATCACTCACCAACCCTGGGAAACTCCACATTTAAAAAACGCCCCTGGCTGACCTAGGGGTGCTCTGAAGGTGCAGGAATCAGAGGGGGAATGCAGCCTGCATGTGCTCTGGGCACACAGATGGAATTTTGTGATGGATTCAGGCACGTCTTTACACAGGAGGTGTTGCTGCTTTGGTCCCATGCTGTCCAAGTTGTCAGTTTTTAAACAAAATTTTTTGCTGTCTTCAGAAGATTCTTGGTTTTAGCAGTTCCTGCTCACCAATTAGCATCAATTCCTTCTACACAGGGAAATATTCTTTTTAAATAAAAAAATGGGTTTTAAAAATGTTTTAAACACAAATATCTTCCTTTGTGGTTGTGAAATGTCTTTTTGTTTTTAAGCCTACCTTGACAACTTAGCAACCAAACCCATCCCTGTACAAGCAAAGGTGTCACCTCCTGTTTGACCTGAACTGGAATTTGCCTTTTGACCAGCAAGCTGAAAACCTCTCACTCCAATTCCTTCCTTTCTGCTTCCCAACAAATCCTGGATCTCCCCAGGAGAGCCCTCATTGCTGCTGCTGCAGCCTGGCCTCCCTGGAAAAGCCCTGTTTTGGTAAGTTTGGAATATTTCCTGGGGTCTCAGCCTGTTCCAGAGGGGGTTCTCTGCCTGTGCCAGCCCTCCAGGGGCTCTGCTCGCTTTGCAGCTCCAGTGCCAGCCGGCCACGCTTCCCTGCCCTGGGCACGGAGCGGGATGGGAGCGGCCGGCCGGGCACCCTGGGGGACAGAGCTGCCACCCAGCCCTGCCACCAAACCCCCTTTCCCAAACGCAGCTCCCGTTCCTCCTGCCAGTTCCCAAAGGAGCCAAACGCAGCGTGTCCCTCCCGGCCGTGCTCATCGCGGATCCTCAAACCCAGCCAGCTCCAAAGCCCCAGCTCCGCAGCCCAGCTGCAATTCCAGAGGCGCTGGATCTCTCCAGCCACCAGCGCTGGGAGGCTCAGCTGGGACAGAGGGACAGCCCCGGGGACAGACAGCGGCTCTACTGACCTGCTCCCAGCTCCGCTTCCCTCACGGAGAACTCCTGGATGAAATTCCAGCCTCTCCAAGCCCCGAGGGAGCGCTGCGCTGCCGGGATGGAGCTCTCGGGGCTGCGGACGTGTTTGCGAGCGTGCCCAGCGCTGCCACTCCCTCACACCAGGGGAGGAATTCCTTCCAGGAGCTCCTTATCATCCTGGGAACCTCCGCTTCCCAGCAGAGGTCAATGAGTTACCCGGGGCTGTGCTATCAACAGGAGACCGCCGGCTCCCGGAATTCCCAGGCGCCTCCTTCGCAGGGAACAATTCCAGGGAGGCTCTCCATGGGCACCGTGCGCCTCAAAGCTCTCCCATTCCAGGCAGGAGCAGCCTCTCCCGGCCTCACCTGTGTCCTGCTCCTCGGGGCTGGGGACCTTCCGTCCTCACCGTGCGACAGCAAAATCCCGGGGGAGGCATTCCCTCCGGGAATTCCAGCTCCGAGCCTCCCTTCCTCCCTGCCGAAACGCAAATACAGGCACAGAACAAGAGATCTGTGGACCCAGCAGTATTTGTGCATCCCGGCTAAAGTCCGCCGCAGAGGGAATTACAGGGGCTTTTTTTTCCTCTTGGAAACAATGAAACAGTTAACATCAAGCTTTCCCGATATTTCTGTTTCCTTCTGAAGTCTGCCATTCCCTGGCAGGCTCAAAAACGAAGCCTCACGGCTTTTCAGCTTGTTATTTCAAAGTGAACCTGAAAGCAAAGGAAGTCAGCCCAGACCCGGCTTCGCTGGAGGAAAAAGCAAACAAAAAAGATGAAAACTTTCGTTTGAGGCCAAAGAAACTCTTGGTTCACGGTTTGATCCTCTGCTATGGGTGGGGGGCACCCACTTTGGTGTGAGATGGAGCAGAGCTTTCCTCCCCTCCCTCTGAAATCCCGGTGGGGGCGGGCTGGGATGTGGCAGGAGCGCAGGGGACATTTCCTCGGGGACATTTCCTCATTCCAGAGCTCTGCTTTCGCTGTCACCCCGAGCACACGGGCACAGAGCAGAGATAAGCACCTGCCCCCTCCAGGTTTTCCACCCTCCAGGAATCCAGGACCCCTGGGGCTGCAGGAACCTGCCTCGGGTACCTCCATCCCCAGGACTGGCTGGGGACAGCATTTCCCCAGGTTTATTTTGGCAGCTGGGGCACTGGGGAAGGGGGGTTCATGCACGGCTGAGGACACATGGAAATCTCGAGGCTTTCACACCAAACTGGTGTGGCCAGTCCCTGAATGCAGCCACACTGGCCTGGCTTTAAGATCTTTCTCCTCATTGATGGAATTTTCCTCCTCACTCAGGAATTTTCTTCCATCTCCAAGCCTTTCCCAGCTTTTCTCAACACAAGGCAACCCAAATCTGCTGCTGCTGCACTGGGAATTCTGCTCCATCCCACAGCTGAAGGGTTAAGAGGGCTCTGGGGCTGAACTGAGCTGAACTCAGCGCTTCGTGTTCAGAACTGCTGAG